CACACACACACACACACACACACACACACACACACAACACACACACACGCACACATTTCAAAAGTGGTATTCATCTTATAGACAAATAGTCTCTAGACTCATGTGGACAGCTGTTCCTGTCCTGCCAGACCACACTTGGTCGTTTCTGCTCTGCCCCTCCCAAGCCCACCATGAGCCCAGGCAGTCCCACCACAGGCTCTTCTGAGCACAGTTGGTTTCCTTATGTCACTGATGCTGTGAGCACCCTCTCGTTTGCACTTCAGTGATGCCCTGTAATTGGGTGCTCTCATCTGAGAACACCAATATCTTAATCGTATTTTGCAAAGTAAATACAGTTCAACACTATTCCACATATAATATTCAAAATAGTGTGTTAATTTTTAAAATATGTTTTTAAATGTACTTGGCTTTAAAGTTTCCATTAAGATATTCTATCCAGAACTTTATTTAGTTGCTCAATGTTGTTCTCTACTTAAGTTAAATAGCCATATTAAGCCATAAACCTTAGTTGTTTGAAATTTCTGGGAGAAAATTAATTTTCTCATGTGTTACAGTAACATAACATATATAAAAATATTATTATGAGTGTATGTGTGAAACATGATTTAAATAAAAGGACTTGCTCCCTTGTCCATTTGTTTTTCTATTGCCCCAATTCCACAAAATTAATGGAAATCATGACAAATATTGTTTATGGTCAGTGTATGAAAGCAAATACATACTCAACTAAACTTCAGAATAAAAAAAAATCGTATTGCATTTGATTTTTCTTTTCAGTAATTTCTTTTTCTTAAAGAATGGAATTGGAAGAAACGGAATTGGAACATGATCTTACCCTTTTCTTGGCCCCCACAGCAGCTCTGGCACCTGCTTTGGTTCTATCTGCAAGATAATATAATATGTCTGCTTTAGAAAGAGCCCACCCTCCTGCTTCAAACATAGGCACAGGGACACAGCTAGCACTTTCTTCTCTAGCTCACACTGGCAACAGGACCGTCTGCAGTGGCCCTTTGAAATAAATGCTAACAGAGTCACCTCCTCACAGTTGAGTGCAGCTCTGTAACCCAAAAACCACAAAGCCCAGAAGGAACGCTCATCTGATGAGTGTCCTTCACATTTTATTAGTTAGCATTAAGTCTGCCGAGTTTATGGTTTCTGGTCAGTCTGTGCATTCTAGCACACAGACTCTAGAATTAAGTCCATGGCATTTCTACTTGCACACCTATTATATGCTAGCCACTGGATGAAGAATATTCCGCTAATCTACATAACGGTTAATCCACATGTCATTTGATCTATATAATATTTTAAGGCATCCAGTCCACCTTCCCTATACAACTGAGGAAACCGATATTCCAGCACACTTCCTGTGGTTGTATTAGAGAGTAGATTTGATCACAAGTTCCTAGTCTGTCCGGGGTATCTGCTGCCTCCATTTGGGACCACTGAGGTAACCAACATTGTCTCAGATAAGATTCCATAAGAATGGGACATTGGTACCATTTCTCAGACTACCACTGATACAGCAATATTTAGTAACTAAGTAGCTCATGGAAAATACTCCATGGTAATATTTTGGTATATACAACATATGTATGTGCATATGTTGGTAAGACCTGACAGAGAATCATTCTTCATTGAATATGTAACCAGTGGTAGATTTCTTAGGCCCAGTGGACAGCCCAAACCCATGCACTATGAGCAGCACTAATTGGACATAGTGGGTTGTTGAAAGAAAACATGTTAAAGGGGAGAAATGTTGGGACATACAGGGGAAGTGGGGATAGAGAATGTATGTGTCATATATCATTGTACATATGTATGACATTGTCAAAGAATATTAAGAACTGACAGAAAACAAACACCCAGGGAAGTGTGTTGTATTTATACTTACCACTGGCTTCCACATGTAGAGTGCCCTGCATCCCCTAATGTTTAACATAACCCTCCTCCAAGTAACACCATTTTCCCTCATTCAAGAACGCACAAGACTATTCACCATCACAGGTGATCCCTCCAACTACAAGAAATCCCCACCTCTTTCCTGATATTTTGCATGTGTCTAAACATTAAGAAAGCCTGGAATATTTATCACAGTTGATAACGAAAGTTGACATGCAGTAGCTGTTTAATGTCATCCATGACCTCCATAACACTGCGACTCTTTGAGCTTCTTCAACTATGGCCTCTGAAGCACCTTCTTCCAAAGGCAAATAGTGGGCCAGGTTCTGGTCCAGCAAGTAAGGAATTTAAGAATTGCCACCACATCTCATTATGTTAAGAGCTAAACTGAAAGTCCACAATTAGATCCACCATTCTTGGGGCACATTATGTTCCCAAATCTAGAGAAACTGATCAATGTAGAAAATTATGAGTTACCTGAACAGAAAGACGTGGGCAGAGTCTTACATGACAGCCAGTCTAGGGGTAAGAAAATCTGAACCCTAGTTGGCACACCCTGGAGATTAAATGTGGACAAACCTGTGAAACAAAACCCATAATGGGCAGGGTAGAAGATCTGGAACCCTGTGAGTTCTTCTCCTAGAGAGGCACCAACTGCTCACAGGGAAGGCTGGAGAAGACCCACCCAGACATCTGGCAGGGTGGGGATGGGGTCCACACTCTTGTACTTAACAAGACCCGCCCACAAGGAAGCTATTTTACTACCGTCCAATGCAGCTGAATTTTCTCAGAGCCTCACTCATTGAGGGGAAACAAAATACACACTGTAGCCCCTGTGGTTATCCTGTACCACTTAAATGAAAGAAGAAGAAAAAAAACATGCAGAGGTTTCTTGTCAAGTTCACAGCCTAGAACTGAGATCTAATACTAGGACTACAGAATAATGTTCCCTCAACCCCACTCCTCAGCACTGTCCAGCTAACTAAAGGCCAAGCCTACAGTGCATGTTATCCAGTACACTATACCCATCTTTCAATAAAAAACTTATGGCTCAGAGGATAAGAACACTGCCTGCTCGTCCAGAGGTCCTGAGTTCAATTCCCAGCAACCACATGGTGGCTCACAACCATCTGTAATGAAATCTGTGCCCTCTCTGACCTGCAGGCTGACATGTAGGCCAAATACTGTATACATAATAAATAAATAAATCTTTAAAAAGGTGAAAAAACTAACAACTTTGAAGAGAGACCAAGAAATGGGTGGATAGATAGATAGGCAGGCAGAGATAACCTATATGCCAGGCATGGTAGATTTATTTATTAGATAGTTAATGTGAAATAATAGTTCTGATTATCATGCTAAAAACCTAGTGTTAAGACTGCAAAAGCAGATGGGTGATGTGAAGAAACATGAAACTTCTAAGAGTCAAAAAGAAATGCTAAAGGACGGAAGGCACTGTAATGGAAGGAAGAAAGTTTGTGTAGCCTCGTCAGTAAACATGATGCGTCCTGAGGAATGAAGCTCTAGGCTTGAGGCTGTATTAAGAGAAACTAACCCAAATGAAGAAGGGTGAGAAATAGAGAAGGGAGTGGGAGTGGAAGGAAGAGATGGTGAGGAGAGAGCAGTGAGGAAGGCTAGGCAGGCTGGGCATGGAGCTGATTCCTATGCCCGCATTTGCAGGCTAAGGCTGCAATGTTGTCATATAAATAAGTAACCAAAATCCAAAAGATCTGAAAAGACACTTCAGCAAAGAAAACACAAAGGAATAAATGTGCATATGACAGTATTGAGCACCAGTGATAATCAGAGCCCTCAAAAACCACATGAGGTGACGCCACTTTGGAGACTGTCAACTATAACACAATGCCAAGAGCATGCAGAGCAACAGGGATTCTCTGCCACTGCTAACACAATGATGGCCATCAGCACGCTTTCAACACAGCATCAGCACCCATGCTTCTTCTTACTGCTTAAGGGGGTTGAAATTTCATGGCCACACCAAAGGACATTCATCAGTAATTACTCAGACTTAAAGCAATCCAGATGTTCTTAGTTAGATGAATGGCAGAAGTTGGAGCATGTACAGGAGTAGAATATTACTCTGCACTAAGAAGGAATGAGCTACATAGACTCGTGCAAAGACAAAACAAGTGTATGTCACTATAGGAAGAAAGCTGACAAGGAAGGACGACTTACTTATGATTCTGGTCATGAGACATTCTGGAAAAAATCAAAACTGTGGAGAAGGTGATAGGAACAGTTGCCGAGTGTCGGCAGAGAAAAGAGGTGAATAGCTAGGACAACAGGGTTTTTAAGTCCATGACATTACTGTGTGCAGCAGGACAATGATGGACACATGAGATTACACCTGCCAGACACAGAGTGTGAACCCAGAGTGAACTCTCGTGTACACTATGAACTCCAGAGATAACTAGGATGTGTCAGTGTGGGTCCACTAATTATAACAAATCACATGGTGTGGGGTGTAACGGGGAGTGGGAGTGAGTTCTGAGTGGACAGAAAGCATATGGAAACTCTACTTACACCCAATTTTTGTGGACCAAAGGCTGCTTTAAACATGGGAGTCTGTTTGGTAAAAGCATGAGTAATTCGGGGTGGGAGGTAGAGGTAAGTAAATCTACTCCAAATGCAGAGCACAGGGCTGAGCAGGTAGCACAGTGGCAGTATTTCCCTAGCAAGTATGAGGCTTTGGTATTTGATTTACACACACACACACACACACACACACACACACACACACACACACACACACGCGCACACAGAGAGAGAGAGAGAGAGAGAGAGAGAGAGAGAGAGAGAGAGGGGGGGAGGCACACAC